TGGGATGCGGAGCATATTGTTATTTAACTCCGGGCGGACGCAAAACCATTCCAATAGCATAAAAATGTATAGAGCGTAGTGGAAAATCCAAGTTTTGTACTTCACCCCCTCAGCGTACCAGAATTATCGTCTCAGCGACCCTCGGAGTCCCTTCGCGTCGGACTTAGCATCTACAATCAATCCTAGCTTTGCCAATAGGCCGGACTCGTCGAAACTAGATAACTCCGCCATCGCATATCGATCCAAGTAAGCTCCGGATTTAAAGTATAAAATTCACCAAGCGTCTGTAGGCACGAGACTATTGTTCGGGTTCAGTGGAACTCCCCACCCGGGTTACTGTCGAACTTCGGAGATAAATACTCCGGAGAATCGCTATACTGTTTGTTTCAGGCCTCAAGAATTTGTTTGTTTTAGGTTTTCCTACGGGCTACCCTACGGCGTCTAACTTCTCCCCCTCCCTTCGAACTTAAATATTACCCTTCAATCGCCTTAGACCGCCTACACCCATACCGCTGGGTGTTTTAGGTTTTATTTCTTTTGGTCTTTGGTGTTGTCGTGTGTTAGTGCCTATCAACGCGTCGTGGCGAATTGCAAGGGAGCAAACACACGCATGTTTGACGGTCCCGACCTGCTACCGCGTTAGGTAGTCGGCCAGTGTGGGAAGGAAATTGTGGCGTCTGCCACACACCCTTGGCCAGCCTTGCGGGCTTCAGCAACATGTGTGCTCTGTTAGCTGCAAATGCTGCATGGGCAGTAGATGAGTACAAATAGCGGCAGAATAAATGCGGTGGTGTGGTATCTGTGACGCGACCCACGATGAACTTCAACAAGACAAATCTAATATGGCCACACTATCCAGCACACTCTTCGAGGGCAAACTTTCACACAGGCTTATGTACTATAGGTGTGGACTTTTAGATCAATTAAAGAAATTAAAGAAATTAAATCGAAGGAGAGAGAGAAAGAGAAGGGAAAGACACTCTGTTCGGGCCCCGTGAGCTTCAGAAGGGGCATATTATTGAAAGGATATACTAGTGCTATATTCAGGGATCTCCCTCGCTTGAAATATCCCTCGAGGCTAGTTTCTTCGGTTTCCACAGCACATGAATTTTGCTTCGCGGCGCTGCGCGCCGTATTAACTCTCTGGATAGCTTAAGGCAAAACCTGGTGGTATTTTAAGTTTGAATGGACACCTCTATGTGTACTGTACCGATACGACCTTAGGCAACGCAACGGCTTATGTAATTCACCGTGGGAATGTGGCAGGTCAAGCAACGTCTCCGTCGGGACAAGGGACACATGCAACGCAACCTGCAGTTGCGCGTACTAAGGTGAGGATAATGCAATGTTGATACACTCCTCAGATAGATCTGAGGCTCAAATCGCTGAGAGAAGACTCAGAAGAAGCTTCAAGAGGGTTTCCAAAGCACCTGCGAATAAATTTGTTCATTTTTCCCCATTTAGCGCGGATTTAGGCTCCGGGGCCCCAAGCAACGAGGTGTCCGGGACACGGGACAAATCTCAAAATAGGCAACGGCGACGGACCTCTCGGGACACGGGACGTTGCCTAAGGTCGTATCGGTACAGTATCCCACTGCTCATGTGAATCGCAAGAAATTAAGCAACCTGGAAGTCAAAATCATTTTTCTTTCGGCGGCGCTGTCGCGCCGCTCACTTTATGCATCCCAAAATTAATGAACCACTTGTCACTTACCTACCTATAGTACTTCTACCTAGCTATGTGTCCCGGATCTCACAGTACAGATATAACTCTTCAGCCCCAATTTTGGGAGTGAAATAGCACCATAAGCGGTAAAAGAGCGCATTTTTGGACAAATTCTCCAACAAAATATATCTCTTTCATTTTACAAACAGTTGTGGATGGGATCGCTTCAGTAGGAAGCTTGCACGCGTTGTGAAAAGGTAGGGAGGCTGGACAATGGCATGTGCATGCGGTGCCACAAGCGTGAGAACACCTACTGAATACAGTATAACAATTCGAAGTCCGAACTATATCATTCAAACTCAGTTATAGATCTATTTCGCCACGCCTATAGTATAACTGCCTTCACACAACACCTAAACATGTCTAGACATTTACACCCTAATAGTTGCAAATTTATGCCTGTTCAGAAGGATTGCAATTTTTTCAGTATTTGTTTGGGAGTTTCAGCGCAACCTTCGTCGACGTCGCCGACAACAGCGTCGACAACGCGTCGGGCAACGTCGAGCACAGCGACAACAGGGGTACGGCAGTATCCGGGACGTTCCCACGGCCGGTTGCCCGTTGCTCTCAGCGGGATTCGAACTCACGGCGTGCCCTCAGCCAAACGCAAGTGCGAAGTGCAAATGCAAAATAGACCTGACACTCCTGGTCAACCGTACCGAGAGACAGAAATCAGACCATCTAGACTTCTCTACCTTCTTCCGACGTCCCTGGCACCCACTCCGACCCACTCCGACTATATGTGGTTTTCTGAATTGATGGTCTATCGATCTGCAAGCGGCTGTAACACAAATATATCACTATCGTCTGGTCGGATCTCGGAAGACAAACTGAGATGAAGACAAAATGCGCACGGTCATAAAATCCCCGTATGAATGTTCCATTGGTCGGTCGACCGGTCAATGCTCATGCAGGGCTGACAGCCACGAGTATCAGTACTTGGTGGTACCTACCAATTCAATCCTTCCGAAAAACCTTCTCCATCTACCCTCTTATTTCTTCAGCTGCCTGAGTTCTCTCTGGTTCGTGCCAGGTAAACATGAGCAAATCGTGCCAGGTCGCCTCCGAATACCCAATGTATTTAATGATATCTTCCCCGTTGTCTCTGATTAAACGTTGGCGCAACGTCCGGACAGGATCGAGCATCTGCTCCAGAGACCCAGCGATGATAATGATGGGAGGGAAATTCTAGAAGAGGCCCCTCTCCTTGATACCGAGGGAAGCAGGCGATAACCACGGGTTCGAGTACAATTCCCATTCAGGCATTGAGCCGAGCAGGCCCCACCCAGTGTACCCGGACTTCAGTACCGTGTACACCAGGTCTGTTCAAGTGTTTCTCCACATCAATGAATTTGGGTGCTTGTCATGAGTACCAGCCCAATCGACTGTCGGGGCAAGGAGATTAGCGCTAGCTGGGGGCAACATGCACGGGATATCAGAGGAGACGAGATATCTGGCGAGCTCGAGAATGAATGCAAAATGACCCCTGGCTGACTCTCCTGCCAGAATAATACTTTCGGGCTTGAACCCTAAGTTGGCAGTTAACCAATAATATCCGGCCAGGGCGTCTAGAAGGACGCGGGAAATGGGTTGGCTGGTGTGAATGGGGAAGACGAGCAGAGACGATATTCGACTCCCAAAGCTCGATCGATCATATCTGACCAGTGTTGAAGCATAGTCCTTGCAGGCATCGAGGAGAGATCATCTGGAGCAGCAGTACCCAGCTTGTGGAAAATATATAAGCTAAGGATATTTACTCTTGTAAGGACGACTCACGACATAACCTCCACCTAAAGCGAGTATGATTAGGGAGGTACTTACTCGTTGTGGTTGCGCATGAACTCCTTACCGTGAAAGTAGTACAGCACTTTTTCTCCGGGAGAGGCTGGGTAACCGTATTCTGCCTCGTTCCTCTTTCCTATCCAGTATCCGGCCACGGATACAGGCTTAACTTGATTTTTGCGCACAGCTTCGGCGATCTCGCCAAAAATCAAGTCTGCTAGCAGACCATCAATCCAAACCTGAACTAAGCTATCAGCGAGCGGCTTGCGCTTCTCGGGGTGCCTTCCAAGGCTGTTATCTGTAGCGAGAGAACATAGTGAGAGTGAGTAGGTACAAAAGGGCGACGCCTGTTGGGGAGGTGGATACAGAATACGGCTAGGGGGCAAAGCACGCTCGTAAATTCTTTAAATTTTAAGGATCGACGGGTATCGGGTATAATAGAGATATCACGAGGCGATATGCAATCGAACGCATAATATCAGTCGCCTGTGCGGACTAAGGTATATGTAAGCGCCGAGGGGATAGGTGCTCACTGGAAGTCTTCGTACCAGCAATAGTAACGGTGACAGCCGACACACTCTGGATTCTGCCGCATCGACGGGTGCAAGCATGGACAACGCATAGACGATGCTGGGATTGTATATCCACTAGCAACATGCAAGGTTCATTACCGGCTTTACCGAACGAGCAATTGGCCACCGAATGTGATGGCACTTACAATCGGACCTTCACCCTCGTACCTTTGAAACACTACGTAAACTCTCTTGGTTTCATCCCGCGGCCTGCGCCCTTCCTATCATCTTATTCACCGCCATCGGTCGTCCCGGTCCACTGCCCCTGGCCAGGTCCGCCAACTTCGCCTCGCGCATCTTCCGCAGAACCCGACTCAACAGCGTCGGCGTGACCACCATCTTCCCATCTTCGCCGGTCTCCCCTTCTTCCCGCGTATCCATGGGCGTGCCACCGTTGCTCCCGCTACTGGTGTTCACGCTCCCGCTCCTGCTGACTCCCGTGGCGGAGCGCTTCGTGCCCCCGCTGCTGGTCGTGAACGGGGAGCCCTGCTGACCCGCCAACGACCCCCTGGACGTCTCGCCACTGGGCGACTCTTCCTTGTACCTGTCCCATAGCGTGTAGAGCGCGATAATCTCCTGCATGATCGTCGCTACTTGTGTCATGGATACGTTCAAGCTCGCCAGGAAACTGATGGGGTCCTGAGCAGGTTTTTTGGTGTGATTGCTCGCTTGCCGCGATGATCGCCGGGGGGCGGCAGCTTGGGCGGGAGCTGACTGGTTTTGGATGGATGTGCGGGTGGGATTGTGCAGGACAAGAGTGAGGTTGATGACCGCGACTGCGATCATGTGTGGCGGGTACAGAAGACACAATTCAGATCGATATGTATCGTTTATGATGAACCTGTGGGTGATCAGCATATGTAGAGATATGCGCGAGAAGAAAGACGTACCATGCCATCTGGAGGGCCGGTCCTGGTAATTCAAGCTTACCCTCCCCGGTACCCCAATAGCGGGGTCCATCGTTAACACCTACACCTAGCTCCCCTGCCTCCGTGTCGAAATCGCTTGAGCTTCCTTCTTTACAACACAAAGTCATGAGTGTTCGGTAGGGGTGAAAGATCGTCATGTCGCATTCCAGATCATCCACGAGGTAGAACTCCATCTCCGCAAGCTTTGAGTTGTCAGACGGGAACGTCTTGATGCCATACATGTCCTCTTCAACTCCGCTATGAGGAGGAGCCATTCCTGATGGACTATTGACTCACGACTGAAGACCGACCTAGCTTCCGACACAACATTCTTGATGTGCACAGGTGATTCCTCCGCCTTGCTCGCCACATAGCAGCACGCAGCTATGACCAAGAAGGGATCGGTTTCACAATACGAGTTCTTGAGGTAAAAGCGACGGAAAAACACGGTGGCCGTCGCGATGACACGCTGCCTGAGCCCTAGTTTCTTGCCCAGCTTGGATATGGCTGCCACCCCGCCGTTCATTCATGCACCGTAGTCCGATATCTGCTGCTACTCACCATTGGCGAAAAAAATGCCGAGAAAATCGAGATATTCAGGGTCGTCGACATATTGCCGGTCCTCCGCTCGCGCCCTTTGTACAGCGGCGCGGTCCACAATCCATCGCTTGCTAGCAGACGCGTCAACATCAGCTTTCTTGCGAGAGCCTGGCAAACGTTCACCTCACTAATGCGAGCTCGCCCAAAAGTCGGTCGCCATCGACGTCCGCAAGAAACACGGACCTAAAATACGCCTGGGAGGCCGCTGCTCTTGAGAGTTTCGATTCCGAACCTGTCTCGGAACGGAGAGGGATCGGGTAAAAGCGCGGGGCAAGTCGGCGAACGCAACGTTCCTGCTTTCTTACCGCCACCACCACCGCGCACGACGACGACCAAGATGCTCGCTCGCTCTGCTATCCGCACGCTCTCGTCGCAGAGCCGTATGTTCTCTTCCTCCGCCTCGCGGCAATTCAAGGTTGCCGTGCTCGGTGCCGGCGGAGGAATCGGACAGCCGCTCTCGCTGTTGCTCAAGCTCGACCCGCTTGTCACTGAGCTGAACCTTTACGATATTCGCGGTGCCCCTGGTGTCGCCGCCGATGTTAGCCATGTTGACACCAACAGCGAGGTATGTGTGTATTTCCTTCGGGAGGATGTATGCGCGACGGGGCGGCCAGCCGGCCCTGGGATCTCCTCCGAGGCTTCGACAGTACTGGAATGTCATTATATCCAATCTACCTTGTTGAAGCCCGTTTTTGTCGCATGGACTACCGGCAATGATAGTGAAGATATCCGAGCAGTTACTGACTATGTCATATAGGTGAAGGGCTTTGCTGCTGATAAACTTGACGAGGCCTTAGATGGCACTCGCGTTATCGTCATCCCTGCTGGTGTCCCCAGAAAGGTACGTAGTCTGACCATCTTACATTATGCCTTCCTGACCATTTCGTTGTTCAGCCTGGTGTAAGTGGACCATATACACATCCTACGCAGCCCACACTAACTCCGACCTTAGATGACCCGTGACGATCTCTTCAACGTAGGTTTATACCGCAGTGTTCGGTATCTGCTGTAAGACTTAGTCTTTCTGTCCAGACGAATGCTTCTATAGTTCGTGACCTTGCTGCTGCAATTGGCCGCGTCTCCCCGCAAGCCTGCATCTGTGTCATCTCCAACCCCGTCAACTCCACCGTCCCCATCGTCGCTGCCACCCTCGAGAAGCAAGGCGTCTTCGATCCCAAGCGCCTCTTCGGTGTCACTACCCTCGATGTGGTCCGTGCAGCCCGCTTCCTCGGCGGCATCCAGGGCGTCGACCCCAAGCAGACGCCTGTCACTGTCGTCGGTGGTCACAGCGGTGCCACTATCGTGCCCCTCCTCTCGCAGAACTCCCACGGTAAGGGCCTTAAGGGCGAGACGTACGAAAAGCTGGTACACAGGATCCAATTCGGTGGTGACGAGGTTGTGAAGGCCAAGGATGGCGCTGGAAGCGCTACGCTCTCCATGGCGTACGCTGGTGCCCGCTTCACCAACTCTGTGTTGAGGGGTCTGAACGGCGAGAAGGGCCTTGTCACGCCTACCTTCGTGAAGAGCCCGCTCTTCGCTGACCAGGGCGTTGACTTCTTTTCGTCCAACGTCGAGCTCGGCGTAAGTCTATTGTCATGTGGTTTGTGAGGAGACGATGCTGATGAGTTTCATTCAGCCCAACGGTGTTGAGAAGATCCATCCTATCGGCCCCATCTCGCCCGAGGAGGAGAAGCTCCTCCAGGCCTGCCTGCCTGACCTCAAGAAGAACATCGAGAAGGGCAAAGCCTTCGTCGCTCAGTCATAAATTGACGTTGTAGCTACAAAATTCACGTGTAGTGGACATGTGCTACGGTGTGTTGTAGATGACTCGCGTCTCTAGATCACTGCCTTCCAATGCTAGAGTGGTGTCTTGGAAGGAAGACGATGCAATATCCTGTTTGCGCCCCAGTAGCGTTCTTTCTACCTGACTCAACCCATCCCTAGGGGGTATAACCAAGTCAAGGCTTCTCCGTCGTTGTAGTCCGGGATTGCGCTGGTCGCAAGGGCGGGACTCCTTTATAGGAGCTCTGCGTTCGTCTGATCTCTTCTTCCCGATGTGAGCATGGGTATGGAAAAGTGATTTTTACGTCGACGTACATTTCTATCTTCGTCCCGTTTTCTTGACTGTAGTAAATCCGTCTTCGTCTACCTCCGGCTCTTCTCTCGGAGGACGTTCTGGAGGCTGAGGCTGAGGCTGCGTATCTATCAGCGTCGGCACACCGTCTTCATCTTCCGGATCTTCATCGCCATCGCTCCAGTCCTGTTCAGGGTCATCGGGCACACCCCGCAGTGCCTGTACATCCTTCCCTTTGATTTTCTCCGCCCTGCCTTCATACTCTAAGACCAAGTCTTCCTTCCCTCGCGAGACTTCCTCCCACAGCCGCAAGATATCAGTCGCTACGCTCTGTGCGCTGTCGTCCTCCAAGAGGGTGTCGAACTCTTCCTCCATGACCTGCATCAATAGCTCCTCCACATCGACGGCGTCCGGGATGGGGTCCTGCCCATCGAATGCGTCCACAATTTCCGATGCGAACTGAAGTTGGGTTTGTTTCGCAGTCGCACCAGAACTTCCCCAGTTCTCTCTGATGGCTACTCGAAGAGCACCCCATAGGGCTAGCCGGGCCATTACTCCTCGAGCGAAAAGTACCAGCGTGGGTGCCGGCTCCGCTGGAGCAGATCCTGATGCGACCGGTGTAGCCATGCTTTAGAAAGTAGTAGATGCGGTTTAGGATCAGGCGATCGAGCGATGGGCAGAAGGTAGAGGGCGAAGCCACAATGCCACAAAATTCTGTTCTGAGTTTCAATCTTCTCTTTCCATGCTAAGTGCCGTCGCAGCGCGTAAAGCGCGTCTCGCGCAGTCTCAACAATCAGCGACACCTCCTGCTTCTGATACATCGTCGACCACCGCTGCTGATGCGTCTTCTGAGAAGTCAAAAGTCTCGAAGAAACCAACGTCAAAGCGGAAATTGAGCGGTCAAGTACCCGCTCCGTCCCCCGACAAGAAAAAGAAGCGAGCTAAACATAACGAGAAAAAGCAAAAGCCTGTCTCCAACGCTGGTACTGATGCGTTCGCAAAACAAGACGACGTAATCGTCATCGAGGATGAAGAGTCCTCAAGCTCGGAGGAGGATGTGCGAAGTACTCTCTTACCCCGTCTTGTAGCCTCTGAAGTTCCATCGAGCTCCAGGCGGCGAGCTTGGTCACCCAGTAATCCGGTGTACGATTCATCGGATGATGAGGCCCAGGATGTACCTGTGAATGACCTTCTGGATATACCGGTCCATTCTTTCCCCAAGGCGCAACCTTCGACCGTCACACTGAGCACCTTTCAACCCACGCGGGACTATAATCTTTTCCGACTATCACCAGACTCTGCCGCTCGGTACGGCCTTTTGTCCTCCCACGACAGAGACTCTACCTCTTCTCTGCTTGCACTTGCCCCGGGAGAGACGGTATGCCTTCTAGGAACATACACTATCACCGTTCTAGCTGGCTCTGTATCACTGTGTGGCAGCACACTATCTGCCTCGTCTGTGTCACACCGCGTCTTTGCCCCGCGGTCCTCCCCTATACCTGTCATACGATGTGTCTCGTCGGATTCAACAGAATTTCCGTCCGAGCTGCCGTCGTCCGTGAAACAAGCTGTGCCGAAGGGCGGTTCTCTTGTCTGGCTAGAAGGATTGCGCACCCATGTTGAAGGTTTGGGTCGAATATGCAGGACGTTCGATGGTGTCTTCTCGCCATCTCGATGGCAGAGTGGGGATAACTTAATCCCTGGTGTCAGCGGTGTCCACTTGGTACTTTTCCTTCCTTTTATTGAGTGACATGGACATTGACTTACAAGGTAGATTAGTCAGTCGAGCAGAGACGCACAAGTCTTCTGCGTGCCTGACTCATGGGATGCTGCTCTCTCGGCTGTACTATCGCACGCAAAGGCGGGGGATATGAAGCCTCCAGTTTGTCTCGTGAAGGGTCCTAAGAATGCGGGCAAGAGCACGTTTGCCAGAACCTTGCTGAATCGTCTGGTAACCAAGTAGGTCAAGTTGCTTGGTACAACGGAACAGTCGGTGACGTTTCCTAGGTATGCAAGGGTCGCCTTCTTGGAGTGCGATCTGGGTCAATCCGAGTTCACACCTGGCGGCATGGTCGCGCTGAACGTCCTCGATACGCCTCTCTTTGGTACGTAAGCTAAATTTGCGGGTTACTGGTGCAGCTCTGATATCATGCAACAGGTCCCCCATTCACCCATATGTCCATCCCGAATCATGCACATTACATCGGTTCGGCCTCGCCTCGCTCCTCTCCCTCACATTACCTCTCCTCAATCCATGCCCTGCTCCAATCCTACCGTCTTGATATCCAGTTTTTGGCCGACGCCAGCAGCGGGGGAAACTCCGATAAAATAGGGGACGTCATTCCACTGGTAGTGAACACCATGGGCTGGACGAAAGGTCTCGGTGCGGATCTGTCGCGCAAAATCGAAGAGATGGTTGAGCCGAGCGATGTCTTCGAGTTTGAACCGCCAATAGCAGAGTACGTATGGCCGGCCGTTCCTGCACCTAGTGCTCGCCCTCAGGGTGATGCGAGGTACTACACGCTAGAGTGCGTCGAGCCTTCAGTTCTGTCGACGAACTTCAGCTCTGCGGATCACCGCACAATGTCGATCTTGTCTTACTTCCACGCCATATTCCCTCCGCAAGACCCGTCATCAATCGTATCGTGCCTTTCCTCAACATGGAACGTTGCTCTTCCGCTCTGCGCTCAGAGGCCATACGAGTTAGATTGGGCAGACGCTATTGACAGAGTGTACCTAGCCGGTCCTGGCACTGAGGACGTCGTGTCCTCGGAGGTTGTCCGAGTACTCAACGGCGCCATCGTAGGCCTGGTGGAGTGCGAGCAGGGAACGCTCGATGCTGAGATGGACGAGATCGAATTGGGAGGCCCGGAAGCCGGGCCGGTTATTCCGTACACTCAGGGAGCTGCCCCGCCGTCCCCCCTTTCCTCGAACTGTCGTGGTCTCGCTCTCATCCGAGGCGTATCATCCACGAGTACGCACTTGCAAATCTTGACACCCGTACTACCGCTAGCGCTCGCGGACGCTCGTGTATTGGTCAAGGGTGAGTTGGAGCTGCCAGTGTGGGGGATGCTCGATTTCAGGTTTGAAGACGGGCAGAGCATCGCGGGCGTTGACAAGGGGTCGGTTCCTTACTTGCGGTGGGGGAAGGAGGAGGGGCTCGGGGCGGAGCGTCGGAGGGTGCGGAGAAACCTTATGCGGAAGGGACAAATGTAAGGCTCTGGTCGTGATATTGAAGAGGAGGTCCGGCTGGTGTAAAATGTAGTTTTCGCTTTGTTATCTACTGTGCACCTGACTAGACGTGGATTCCGTCCGTAGTAGTGCGACTCTTCATGGGAGGTTTATAAGACGGCCGTTGTTCAGCCATTAGCTCAGTACGCTACGGAGGCCCTCAATGACTGGGTTTCGCCCGGAAGACTATCGCGACATCAGGTCCTTTGTTTTGAAGCCACTCCTTCCACATGGTTTGATAGCGGGGACACCACTCGACTCGCTTTCCATACATCCCAAAGACCTCTTCATCCGATAACATACGAGAGATTTTGAATATTTGCTGCCGATCGCGGCTGCTGTAGTTCTTAATTTGTTTCTTCGCTTCTTTGAGAGTTGGGTGCAGCTGGGATACGACAATAAAGGTCATTGAAAATTCAGAGGACGCAGGGGAAGGATATCAAGGCAATGCGCACCGGCCCTCTGAATACCATGCGGTGCCATTTGCAGAAAGCTTTGGGAGACAATGGGTATTCGGTCGCTTCAGGATCTCGACGGCGAGGTCCACGATTCTCGCCCATGGGTGGTAAGGGGGGCGAATAATACATGACCAGCGGTATTTCCGAACAACTCTGGCCACCATGCCTGGCGCGGGCCATGCCCAGGCAAGTCTTGAGCCGGAACGCAGATTGCCAGTACTTTTCCTCTTCATCTCGGTCTTGATATTTCGAGTAAGCTGGTTCAACGCCAGTGTAGGCACCACCAATTCTGAGCCGGTGTGTGACATTGTCCAGGAGCCGCCGGGCATAAACTTGGAGAGCATGTCTAACGTCGCCAAGAAGCAGCGGCCAGCCCGTAGCTAGCAGCCATACCAAGAGGCGCTGCACGCTCGGGCTGGGAGTCAAGTCGCAAAAGTGGATTGTCTGGTACAGAGTTAGGATACGTCAATTATAACGGCTAGGCGAAAGAGCACTACACGCTCACACGAACAAGTCCAGGCATGGCTAGACAGTGCAGGCGCGACTGGTATAGTCCACCAAGGCTTGAGCGTGCTGGCGACGGGGTCTGAGTCGATCATAGTCTTGTGGTAAAGTGAAGGTGCAGCGTGTATCTTCATTTATGACTGCTTCAGCACAGGCGCCACGAGGCAGCCGCATGTTCGACTACACTGCTGAGACTAGACGGATATTAATCGCGAAGCATGACAGGCTTCTGGCAGAAACTAGCTTTAGTAAACTCGCAGCTGGATGACATTTATTGAGCTCGCCCTTGACTTTCTGTTCTCTTGGTTTCGCTAGCTATTCGAGACGAATGTCACCATTGGCATTAATCATCACTTAAATCGACAGAAACTCGCCCACAAAGGCTTCTGCCGTCGAAATTGCAGGGATGAGGAACGGTGCTGGGATTTATTATGCCACATCCTTTCTAACCTTCATAGAGGCAAATTGCGATTTCGAGTATACAAAACGTGCGAGCCCGCTCGAGCGTGATGCTGAACGTTAACGTTAACCTGGCCGGTTAGGTGTGACTATATGCAAGTCACTGTCACGTTTCGTTGCTGCACCAGTCCAGTCTCAAGAGTCTCAGCGGCTCTCTGCACCTTCCTCACAACGCTCACCATTCAATGCTCTTTGGGAGGCCGATATTCCTACAAATGGGCTCGCTTTGAAGTCTTTTTTCTAGCGCGTCGTCGCGGTCGGCCTCGCTATGCAAGGAAATATTAATGACCTCTCGACTGGGATAGAAGATCGTCGTATGTTCCGATCTCTCGAGTCCGTGTCAGACGATGCAATGCCTAGTGCGGAGGCCGCGGTGAGGATATATGAAGAGGATATCGGATACTGATGGCTGTCACCATCGTGTGTACGCGTTTGAATCGCGGCCTGCGCCATCCCCAGCGCGACTCAGCAGCTCGAGATGAAGTGATATCGCCAACTTTGTGTATGGCACGCTCGGACTCGCTAGGTTATGAAGAGGCTATGAATTGCAGTTCTCGAGGAAGCCATATACTTCCAAGTGTTGACCATGCATACACCCGGGCGATTCTCCCGACTATATGCGGTCCGCTCTTCGTTTTAATCCTTGTTAGACTGATCTCTTGCGAACAGCAGGAAATGTTGACAGGTTGAACGGCCAGCCGTGTCCTTCGACCCGGTTTTCGGGCGGATCCTCGGAGCAGATGCTCGTCTCCGGCGTGGCTATGGGTGTTTGCTACACCCGTGTAGAGAGATATATCGTGGCGCCGGAGTGTACCTCTACATGCCGTCGACTCCTCACCACTGTGACACGTTTGCGGGATCGATGTGCACAAACCCCGATGCGCAGATGATCCTGAGTGATTGCGGTGCGGAGGAATATATCCTATCTGGATATACGGACTGCCTGTCGCACTGATTCATTGGGAAGGCAACCCCCTATGTATCAGTGCATAGGTGGATGTCCTCTCATAGACCGCTCGATGTCATCAATGTGGCCATCTTGACTCTGCCAAGATGTAAGCGCTATACCGATTGCTACTTGTCAATGGGTGCCCGGGGCTAATGCGCCATCAACCCATCGCACAGCCCAGATGAGGCGGGCCCGGGTGATTAACCCGCCCCGGGCGACTACAGGGGCACGGGCCCGACGTACCCATGCGAAACGATGATTACCGACACCTCACTCCACCGACGTCGAGGAGACATACGTGATGGATCACCAAGCTGGCAAGGATCAGCCTGATTGAGAGATAGACTACCTGATGCGCATTGTGGATGCGCAGGTCTGCAACCGCAGCCGTATCTTGCCCGATGTTTTCATTGCAAAGTTGCGTCAAGGCACAAGGTTTGGGTCGTTTCTTTGCACGAGTACAAGGTCTACCAGCATTGTGATTCCCAGAGACGAGGTGGGCAAAGGAACATACCTTCTTGAAACAAAAGTAACCCCTGACAGTACCCACGCTCTAGGCTCGGCTTTGGCTCGGCTGGCCGATTTGGACTCCGCGGCGGTAGGGGGAATTCCAGAACGTCATTGGGCGAGCCTGGATATTACGTTGGCGAAGCCCCTCGCGCCCGACGTGTTTGGTGTTGACAGTCCCCGGCTCCCACCCTCCTCTCCCTCCTTTCCGTTGTCTGGAACAACCACGACCACCGTTACGAACGACGTCGACAACACTACGCTCACGATGTCGACGAGCACGAACAATTTCATGATTGACTTCCTATCTAGACTGTCGCTATCGCCAGCGCTGCCCGTTGCCGGAGCCCGCCGGTCAGCCGCCAGCAGAAGACGCAGCGCGAGCGCCAGCTGGCGGACGCCATACTCGACACTTGTTTCCGCAGCGGAGACAGTGTCAGCCACCCTGGCAGACCTCTTAAAGACTTCGCAGTTGCGCTGTGCCCGGCTTGTTCGTGGACTCGATTCTGCCGGCGCCTCGAGGTCAAGGTCAAGGCGGCAGTCACTCGCCAGCCCTCCTTCGTTCAAGCAACTCCACTCGCACCACCTCCCCTTCTCCGTGCTGCACAATTTCCTCGCGGATTCGGACATCGTCATGTCCTTTGGAACACCCGTCGACATCCTTGTCTTCGGTCTAATCTTCCTTCTCCTGCTTGCCTTCGCAGCGGTCTGGTACGTCCTGTACAATGGATGGAGATCGAGCTATACCATGGTGGATACGAATGAAGAGGTGCGTTGGCTATTGTATCTGCGTCCTGGACTGTCAGTTCATCAGGATCATTAGGTCTTGGCGCCTGAGAAAGCAAACTCGCTTCCCCGTTTCGCTGATCAGAGTCATCATCAACTTGTAAGTTCCTGTCGCGGCTTGTTCCACCTTAGGTACTCATGGTTTCTTATTCCAGTCCTTACTTTCCCTATCTCCCTATTCCACGTCATCACCCGCTCCCTCCCGTTCACGCTCTTCGTCGATACCCATTCCTGTAATCGTCATCACCTCACCTTGCGGGAGCTCGCATACGTTCACGACGGTCCCATCGGTTTCGCCTCCGAAACTGCGCCCGCAGCCGCCAGCTGTCCCGGACCCCACCAAGTTATCTTGGATCCCATGGGTGTCCAGGCCAAGGTCCCGCTCGTCCTGTCAGTCTCGTACTTCTCCGAATCAGACCGAACCCAGGACTCAATGTCAAGTAGGGACCGCTAACCGAGTTCGTGCTCGGCCTGCGGGTAGGATGGGCAGAGTGAGGAGCGACAGCTTCTACGGTGGTAGGCCGATAATTGCCAGGGGCCCTATACCCGTTAGGCAGCCGAGATTTGAGGGCGGGGTTACCGTTGACATCGGGTCAGCCAATGCGGGGGCGTTTGAAGTCAAGAAGGGGGCACAAATCAGTGTGGGTGGATTGCCGACGCCGCCTGCGAGCCCGGACGCCGCCAGTTCTACCTCTGGGTTCGAGTTCAAGATCGAAGTGCCGGAAGTAAAAGTCACGAGTGCGCCCGACGTCGACCTCGAGGTGGAGGAGAAAGTACCGGGGTCCTTCGAGGTTATAGTACCCGTGGCCAAGCAAATGGCTTTCATTCCGACGCCTCCTCCAACTCCTCCTCTGGAGAATGTACTAGTCTTACCCAGGAGGGAACGCAGGGAAAGGAAGCCATTGAGCATCGTGGTGTCGCCGACCCATGCTGATGCTGTACAACTGAAGGCAGAGAGGAGAATAAGGGGAAAGGAGAACGCCGCGGAGAGGTGCTAAGTGGCCAGGCGGCGAAGGCAAGGCTTTAACGACCGGGACGAATTTCAAGAATTCTTTCGCATGCTATTCGCCGGACACCCTAATCTTGCGCAAGTCTACCCTACGCCTCGCCTAATACCGCCTCGGATTCAAGAAAGAAAGTATCGTACTCGCGCTGTTTCTTGTCATCGGATCGTATCTCCCTCTCTGGACCCCTTCCCCTTTATCTGTCTCTCACTTCGTCAACGTCGTCAAGCATCATCCAAGGCATCAGTCACCTCAAGAACTCAAATGTATCTTAGGCCGTCCTCGCACTGTATCAAAAGCAATATCACCTCAAGACTAATTCCTCGTTGCTTTGCCCTGCTCTCAAGATCGGCTCGCTCGCCCCCTGCTCTGTCATCCTGTACATCATACCTCGCAATTGCTGTACCGGCATCCACCCCCGCATTCGCATTCATCCCCGTTCCCCCCGTCCACCTCAGCACTACCACCTGTACATATCCCCCTCGCATTTGGAAGCCGTGTACAGCATACCCTGCGTCTCTGTATCCAGAGGCACTCCACATTCGTTTGGAATTCATGTTTCGACTATACTACTCCCCGCCTTCCCGACTTTACACCACTCTTGAATCCTGAGTCGTCTACCTCGCTTGTTATGCGAGGTCGGCGACGTGGCAGGTGGGAGAGGGAAGATGAAGGGAGGAATAATCGCATCGCGGACTCTATTTTGCTTCTCTTGTTTGTTTGTTTGCTTGACGGACGTTGACCCGGTTATTGGATTTGCAGTTCCCCGTATCTATTCTGTAGAGATGGGTGCGGGAATACGGGCTACATACATAACAGTTATGAATACGCCTCTCGGTAGAGTAGAAGAGTATAATTGTGGTGCGTAGGTATCCGCTTAATTAATTGAATGTTTATTCTCGGGCATCACTCTGGAGGAATGGCCGTGAGCTGTAGATCCACACCTCCGACAACAGCTCCTGCTTGAGTACTGACGGTCGTGAAGTATAGCTTTGGTTTCGTGAGTGCTTGCTCATTACAGGATCCTGTACTGAAATAACCGATTACTTATTCAGCAGCCATAGCCGATGGGAATACGTACGGTCTGGTCCTATTATACAGTCGCGCCTTGAGCCATGTTGACAGAATCCTCTGCCAACCTTCAGCATGACTCGACAGAAAGCGCTCCTCCTTCAGGAGAAGCATGGTCCGTTCGCGGTTGCTGAGAAAGACATACCCAGACCGGGCCCCGGAGAAATACTGGTTAAGGTCGAGGCGGCCGGCTTGAATCCAGTGGATTGGAAGATACAGAAGTACGATATCCTGGTCGACTCCTACCCAGTCGTTCTCGGCGGAGACATCGCTGGCACGGTAGTAGAGGTAGGGGAAGGTGTTACCGAATTCAACGAAGGCGATACGATGTGCGTGTCTTTGTCGCGATACGGTCAAGGAGGCTTCGTCCGTTGATACGGGCACCGAACCTGCGTGTCGGAAGCATGGTTCGACAGCAGGCGGGGTGGATTTCAGCATTATGCCATCGTCGTGGCTGAAATTGCTGCTAAGGTATGCGGGTCCTATTCCCCTTTGTGGCTGAACCTCGCGGGTTAACTTCCCAGGACAGGTACCTTCAAGGATATCACTTGAAGAAGCTGCGTCTGTGCCTCTTGCCTTTGTGACGGCGGCATTCGGCTTGTACGGGTCCGGACGGGAAGGCGAGACATCCAGAACCGGACTAGCAGCACCTTGGCAGGAAGGTGGTCAAGGGAAGTACGAGGGTAAACCCATCCTGGTATTGGGAGGAGCCTCGTCAGTCGGACAATATGGTATGCCCCAGGCATTGGCACGACATACCTTTCAAAATTGAATGCTGCACTTAGTGATTCAGCTCGCGAAATTATCCGGCTTCTCACCTATCATCACTACCGCGTCTCCACATAGTGAAAATCTTTTCAAGTCGCTAGGTGCAACTCACGTTATAGATCGCCGGGCACCGTCTGAGCAGCTTCAGGCAACTATCTTTCCGATGTTATCATCGCCATTGCTCCATGTATACGACGCGATTAGTCTCTGGGAAACTCAGCGGATTGGATACGACATGCTGGCGCCTGGCGGCAGCATCATCGTTGTCCTCGACCGTGCCATACAAATTGACGAACATTCAGACAAAAGGTTCGTTCGTGTTGTTGGCAATGCGCACGATCTGAGTCAGAGGAACGACGCGCGAGCCATCTTCTCTCACCTGCCCGTATTGCTTGAATGCGGGGATATCAGGGTCAGCTCCTATTTCCGCTTTACATACGCGCTTACGAACGTATGGATTATACTATAGCCAAACCCTATTGAGGTCCTTCCGGACGGCTTGCGAGGAGTCATACGGGGTTTGCAGAGGCTGGAGGAGTCAGCGGGCTCAAGCTTGTTGCTCGTCCGCAGGATACTGACTGAGCTTCATCTGTCAGGCTCAGCCTCAACTGGCCACCGAATCCAGTGTTGCGCGACCTGCGCAGTATCCATGGACGTTGAGAACCGAATGAAGACATTGACCATGTTTGTTGTATCTTGCTCCTGTTCAATGTCAGGCTTTCGAACGATGGCCAGACAGACGTTCCGGATATCCCCGTGTCACAGAGAAGTCTCTACTAGTACCCGAGTCTCAACGAGGTTCTGAAGATTCAGAGTTCGCTAAGTACCAGATTGAGTACAGTTCACTGGCCGCTGGAATGTCAACACAGCCCGCACTATAGCGGTGCCTTCTATGTCCAGAACGAAGGCTGTCCGAACGGATACTTACCAGTATGAGGCAACTTCGAGATTAGGGCTTATCTGGAGAAATTTTGAGTTTCTACTAAGCACTGACGAACCCTGCTCTACCTGTGACACTCCCAGCCCTCACGCCATCACGCCGGACGCTGCGAGTTACTATGACACAGGAATGCTCAGGCTTTCGGAGGCCAGAGATCTTTGGGATCTCGGTGTTCAAGGATTTACGTAAACGCAATATAAGCACGACCGCCTTGAGCTGGCCTGCCTCCCGTAACTCCCATCTGGGTGGATATACGCGCCGACACCCTTTCCCTCGTCAGCTGACAGTTCGACAGAGCTGGAGACGAAATGCCAGAGCTTACCCAAGGAACGGACGAATGGCGGTGTGTTGAGCTGCAGTCAGAAATCAAGAAGCTGAAGGAGCAGATCTCCCGCTACGAGGAAGATACTGCTCGTCTAACAAAGCTATCCGAGGAAAGCGAGAGAGCTGTAAAGCCAGTGAGTACCCTCACAGCTTATATTAGCACGTTGCAGTTAACTATGCAGTTTCGTCGTTAGGAACAAGGCAACGCCCGTCTTCTCCGTGGTTTTGATGATGCAGCAAATGGTAGGAGTCCCTCTGTGAGAACAGTCTATTAGATGATACGGAGACTCTGTTGAACGGGTTACCAGAGACCTGCCACTCCAGGGCCGGCCCCGCTGGCAACCGCTACTACGACCGGTACAGAGCCAGTTTTCGTCCATACTCGTGCTGCTACTCATACACTTGAAAGAAGGATTGGTAAAAAATGAAGTAATAGAACTCACAACTCCTGGAGAAATCGATGACTTCCTGCAAAAGGTTAAAGAAGACCTAGTAAGGACTCACGTAGAGTTGGCTGTGAAACGTAGGCTAATCCATCTAGGCTGACTCCAAGATCAAAATCAAAGAAGAGACGGTTCTATTTGATGATGAATCAATCAAGTCGCGCATGAGTGTGATCAACTTCGCCCACTATAATGTCACCTTGGAGGAGACCATCCGCAACTTCACAGTGAAGCGCGCATTCATGTCTAAGGTATACGGAGGCAGTAGCCAAGAGACTTTCCCTTCTATCAGCCCCGAAAAAGTGGCCGTGCATGGCAGGGAAAACTTCGCATACATGACCCTTGAATGGAACCCATATGCGCCTAGGAGGCCAGGCCGTCCAGGTCTGTTTTTCGGACACGGCAATGCGTTCGAGCACGAAGGGCCTGGTGTCCTTGACGTCTTCGTCAGAATACAGTCGCACTCTGATCCGCAATGGCGATATAATGGACTGTATGAATTCATTGCCTCTCCGTCACTGACCCCTGCAGAGTGGGCAATCCAGTCTCCGGTCGTAAGTGCACAGCGCCCTGCTAGATCGTAACCGTCTGAATCATGAATATTGCCAGGTTAAGAGGACATGGGCGCAGGGATGCTGGACCTACGGCGGTGCGGACTGTGTCAGAATCGCTTATCGTCGAGATTTTGGACGGCTCCCGACAAAGCAAGAGGTCGACGACATATTTGCAACATGCAAAAAATACCAGAACCTAACTGTCGACGACATTCTACGCGCATTCGACAACGGGGAAGAGGTTAGTAGAATCCTCATGCCAAGAAATAATTGCTCACACCGAGCAATCAGACTATCGCTGTTTGGGTGATGAGATGCATTGGCTACGACGAAGACTTTCAGCGAGAATTGGTTGAAAAGAGTACGAATTGGCAAGTTCCCGCAAAAAGGCCTGGAGGCATAAAATCTAGAACGAAACCCGCATCAAAGCGGACCAAGGCGAGAACCGCACCTAAATATCGTGCGGAGGAGAGCGATGATGGTGAGGATGTGAGCATGCGGGCGGAAAGCGAGGACGATGTTGAGGTACTAGCCTATACACCGAAAGGTACCCGCAGTCGACCGCGGGCGAGTCTCATCTCAGAGTAGAGGAGACGGTAGACCGTGCACATCTTGTACCCTGGCTGGCAGACCTGGCACAAGTCATGATTTTCATGAAAGTCCCTGAGTTCAACGGAAGGTGCTGGGCATCCTGTGTCTTATACTTCAGGAGCCCTAAGAGTCAGCAAGATTATCTTATCATAGGCATGCACACGAACTTGCATTGAACACAGTCTATTACACTGCTTAAATAAATCCATGATCCTAAATTATGCTAAACCAAAGCGAACGACAATCAATAAATAGTCATTACTAGCGTACGCGTAAGCAAGGAACTCAAAACGCGGCGATATTAGGATGAGTGCTGCGCAATAGTTCGTCAAGAACCTACAAATCACTATGAGTAACCAGGTCTAATTGAAAGAGCAATGCAACGAACCTGATCCATTTCCTCCAATTTCTTGAAGGACTCTCCATACACATCCCTGATTTGAGGGTGTAACTCGTCGGCATTCAGCGGTTTGCCGAAGAGCATTTCGTCCACGGGATCCACAGCTGGTCGAGGCTTAACTTCGGGTTCCGCCATCTGGGCGCGGAGCTCTATGACAGCCATCATTCCCGAAAGCCCGAAGTCATTGTTAGGTACGACAGGCCTTCTCCTCTTCGCCGGAGTCTGGGCACGCGTCTGAGAGAGCGAAGATTTCGAGCGACCCGCCGTGGGTGTAGCAGCGGCAGTCCTGTATCCCGACGCATCCGAAAGAACAGACGTAGACGAGGCTTGCCGCTGATGCATGTCAGGGGGTTGCTTGTATGCAGCTGTTGGAGTGGTCGTCCTGATTCGACTATGGCCCTCGCTAGCAGTAGTGAAAGTTGTGGGGGTGTTCGTTCTTGAACCAGATGCCGCAGACATGGCGCGCGCAGCGACAGAGGTAGGAGTAGGAGATCGAACCGTGCCCACCACAGGTGTCGCTGTCCTCGAAGTAGAGACTGGGATTGCAGCTGAGATAGCTTGGTCGAATGAATACTCGGAGTTGGAGGTAGTCGGCGTTGTAGCCATGACATCTTGGCCAGTACCAGCGGTAAGCTGCCTATTTTGACCTTTGCCCTCTTTCACCCTACTGAGAACGCGGTCAAGTTGATCGCCGACTGCTTCTTCGTTGCGACCGAGTACACCTTCCAAGAGGTCGTTCCTGTTGTTGATATTGCTTTCTCTACGCCACTCTTGTTCTACTATGTCGCTGATATCGTAACTTTCCCCCTGTGGATCCACATAGGAGTATCTGATTCTATCATCGACTTCGTAACGAGAGCTGCGTAGCATCGCATTTCCGGGCAGCAGGACGTCGAGACCGCGTTCAGAGTTCGCCTGGGTTGAGAGAATAGCGCGCTGATTAGCACGAACTGCCGCACGTTGCGCTGCAATGATATCTTGCTTGGATGGCTGGCGCTGCCTTGCTTCCTCGTTTACACCAGATGTATTGTCGGATGTCACACTGGAAGTAGATGCCGATACGCGGTGCAGGTTCTGGAGCGCTATTTCATCTAATGGGGCGGAATTCCGATGGCGCGACGAAGAAGTGCGGTATGTCACGGCTCGCCGCAAGATGAAGATGGGGTCGTCCGGAGAAACTTCGTCCGGATTGCCCAGCAACATACCGGAGTCAACCGAACGTCGCTTGCTCTCACTGAAGCGTCTGTCGACTGTGCGATACGTAGGTGGTCTAGGGTACGCCTCAATGACTTTGCTAGTGGGCGACAGCTCTCGCTCTAGGAGGTCGCGCGATTAACAACCTTCCTGCACCGGTCAAGATAACTCACCTTGGCCACCCACAGAGACACTCAGTCCGTATCGTACCCTGGAAGAGCTCTTCCTCTTCGAGACTTTGTCTTCGACTTCATCTCCTCCGTCGACAACACCTTCGACGATACCGAACATGTCCAGACCCATCTCGATAACCTCGGCCACCGTGATATTCTTCGGCAATGCAAAGACCTTCCGTCGCTGTGACATGGATATGCCAGGCGGTATGCTAGGCTGTCCTCGGTCACGGACGCTGTTCTTGAATACAATAGCCTCTGTCTGCGAGTCGAAGACCATGTCATCAGGCAGGTCCTCTGGGTAAATCACGAGCTGAAGAGTGAATCTGAAAGACGGGGAGCTGAAGCGTTCCGGAGCGACACTCGGGCCACCTGCTGTGGAGACTGAGAGGTACTGAGGTTTCGATGTATGAGATACAGAGTCATCCAGTTCTGCGATCAAGGTGTCATCACCCTCTTGACCTTCAGCGCTTCCTTCTTCGCCCTCTATGCTTCGTCGGTTGAGATAGAACTTGACGGCAGAATCGTCAGTGAAATCATTCATAGACAGCTTTTTGATGGCAGGATGCAAGGAGAGATTGCTAGACACGGAACTGATACTGCCAACGCTACTTCTCTTGACCTTAGGCAATTCCATGGCGGCTTCGACCAGGTTCTCGAAAACTCCCAGCGGCTTTTCCTGAGGACGAAGTACGGCAGAGGAACCCTCCACCTGCTTGATAGTGAGGTAGTAATCGTTCTCGTCTTCGCCAGCGGGTAAACGGAACCGTTGAATGGCCTGCCGAACAAGATCCTGAGAGGTAGTGGACGAGTTTAGTAAGACAGTCTTGAAGGTTGCCTCCGTCTGCAGGTTGTTCCCCGCAAAGACACGTATGACGCTAAGCTCAGGAACGCCCTGCCCGTCAGTAGCGGTAGGCGAGAGTACCAAGGAGCCAGGGCGGGGTCGGCGAGTCCCAGCACTTTCTGGCGTGAGGCCGATTCCGAGACCCGAGGCAGAACTACTGGATGAATTGAATGAACTCGCGTGGGGCATGATTGCGGATGCAGACTGCAGACCATATGAAGGCTGCAAATCCGGCGGCGAAGATGGAGATCGATTGAGGTACTGCTGGTATAAAGCCTGCTGTTGCTGGTCCCTCTGGCGAAGCTGCGATGCATGCTGTGAGACGAGTGAGCTTTGCTGAGGCGGCGTCGTGGGCGGTGTAGTAGTGCCTTGCTGGTATTGCTGTTGCTGCTGCTGGTTTTGACGTTTGGGATCGGTGGAGTTCCGGACCGCAGACATCTGTTGCTGTTGTTGTCTCGCTGCGGCTGTAGTGGGGGAGGTCATGCCCGACTCCGACGGGTTTGCCGCCAGGTGCGCATTGCTCGACCTGCTGGACTCCTCCGAAGGCCGTCCAAGATCAACTGAGCCATTCTCGGATGAGCCCTTGTCCTTGCCTTTGTCCTTCCTTCGTCCGAACAGACCGCTAAGCATACCGCCCTTCTTCTTCTTCTCCTTCGAGTCGTCTTCCACCTCTCTCTCTTTCTTCAGCTTGGCCCCGCCATTCGGGCGCGACTCCGGCGATGGTGAAGCTGTCTTCTCCTTCATCTTATTCGCACGCTTTCTGGCCTCAGCTTCAAGCGCCTCTATTTCTTCCCGCTGTCGCTTGCGCTGCTCCTCCTGCTGTCGCATGATGTCGCTCGGCAGCAAGGGGCCAGGTGTCCCCTGAGCCTGCTGCTGGGGCTGCTTCTGCTGCTCAGCCATCACGCCATCACAAACAATGGGGGGAGTGACACTGAGTTTAACCGTGTCGGTGGCCTGAGCAGGGTCGAGAGACTTGGGTCCTGGAGGTGAACTGGGGGACAGCGCTCGGGTGCTGTCTGGTCCAACACCCAGGCGCTCGCGTGAGCCTTCCCTTTGTACTTGCTGCTGTAGTGGCTGAGGCGACGTCTGGTCCTGCGCTCGCTGGCCCTGCGTTGCCTGAGCCTGCATCCTAGCAGCCTGCATCTCCGCCGCAGCGCCCTCTTCCCAGCTCATACCGTCGTCAGGCTCCATGTTGACATCGTCGGCAGGCTCGTCCACAAGATCCGGATCTTCGTCCTCGTACGGCTCGTCGTCCCATTCGACATCTTCCTCGTCTTCGTCCTCATCGCCCCATACAGCCGGAGGGTACCGATGAACGTGAAAGGAGGCCTGGAATATGACAGACTTGGTGTTTCGAGAGCGCTGGAGTCCGCGCTCTGGTGTCGGAGAGGGTGTACCGTTACCTGCTCGCGACGAGAGGTTGGTCCGCAGTCGATCTCGTTGTTGGTGCACGTCCCCTTGCAGCTCGGCTTGTGTAGCAGAGGATAGCTGTATTGGAATACTGTAAGCTAGCACTGGATGGATGAGACGCATGTACTTACATCCACATTCCGGTGCTTATTCAATCTGGCAAGACGCTCGAAAGGCGTCTCAATGTTTTCAGCGGGTATATATCCAACTTCTTGAGTTTTGAGGACGCGAACAAGCCACCAGTAGCTATTGCTATCGTCCATTAGAAACAGACTATCTCCCTTGACCACATTGGCCTGGCCTTCTACCGTCGCTGCAAAACTATGAAGCGCGTAAACCAAATCGAAGTCAATGGACTCATTAGGTATGGAGAGTTCCGAGGATGCGTCGTCGTCGTCGATGTAGTCTCCATCTGCTCCCTCTCCGTCCGAGTCATCCTCGAGAACCGAGTGCTCCTCGTCAGACGTGTACTGGGCAGCATCAGCATGCGCCTGCGCATGTTGTGCGTGGTCCTCGGCAAGCATCTGGTCTCTGAGATCAAAGGTATCCTGACGGTTTGGGCTCCTTACGGTTTGTATACCGTGCATAGTCTTCCGCACAAGATCAATCCCGTGTCCAAGTTCTACCTGCCTCGGTTGAACGGTTGCGACGTGTCACAGCACCAGGCTTGAATTTGAGTCAAAATTCTCGGCAACGAATGTGGCAGGCCGTCAAGTCAAGGGCGAGCAAATGCAGAGGGATGGAGACATTAAGCAGTGAAACTGGATAACGAGGTGATGGGGTGGACTGAAGGAAGACTCGGGGAAATAGTCCATAATATGCAGGATAAGTACCATTTTGGACCTACTTAAAATATATTGTCGCACCATCCACTGCGGGCAGAGACCGATGTCCCACCACCAGACATTTGTCATTCATGAAATAGGTGGGAGAACACTTTCCTTGCATGCTCCGAAGTGGGACTTGGCAGAGACATAAAGAATGAGAGAACAATGTGAATCAAATGTCCTCTGATTTTTAGAGAGCATAGTAAATGTCCCATGGATCTGCCTTTGTTCATTCAAAGGACATTCTCCATGTCCAGGTCATGGTGCAACAAAGACCATTCTAGGAAAGTGTTCTCCCAACTGGGGCATGTTCATAGCATGCTCGCTGGCGGGACATCGGTCCCTCCCCGCAGTGAAATGCAATCCTCCCACACTTCGGGAGTTACACTCTTTTGGGCCTAGTAAAAGATTGTATGGTAGGGATATATGTAAATGATTTTGGGGCTCACAAAAGATAATCTTTATTGAGAATTTCGAAGCTTGTAATATATATTTTCAGCAGTATTATCTTTTGTTGATACATTATAATTAAATCTTTTGGATTCCCTTCTGACACTGGAGGATTTGTAATCTTTAGGGCCAGGCAGAAGGTTGTATGAAAGGGAATCACTGTGTTTCCTGCAGATTATCCACCGGTCAAGACCCCTAAGATATTAGATCTAGTTTCATTATCCAGTAGACTGTCCTGTATAAGATACTTTGGATACCGGTCGGGAAACTGCGCCAGTTGAGCATTGCAGTCCGTCCTTAAGATACTCAGACTAGTTGATCTGTTCATTTCTATCTATGGTCCGGATATCTCCGATATGTTGTATCCTCGCCGTGCGTTGGCTACGCTTTCTATCTCATGTTAAATATGCAACCTCACTGACTTAGCCATTGACTAGCTAGGTAACACCTGTACATATATCTAGGGTGACAGACTTGCATCAAGATGACTCCCAACCCCTTGCGAGTCCGCCACGATATCAGCAGAAATGCCCAAGACCAACAGCTTCCGACCTCCTCGTCCCATGCTTCCCCCACGGTGTCCACCTAGAAAACCCGCTTCCCCCGAGCCTGGGCCAGGTGGCTGAAGGCGAGCGCGATTTCGCAGCTCGAACCGGTCAGTCCTTTCTCGCAGAAGTCAGACGTCGGATGTAAGCACGTCTTCTGCGAGCTTTTCATGCATCGCATCAATGTAAGTATGCATTCATTCTCTCGGAGACGTGCGCTGACGTATATCAGGATCCGGATGCCAACCCATACTTTACCGATCAAGACATGCACTAGTGCTATCTCTACGCTGCCGTGTCCGTGCCTGTCAACTCCGGCATACCGTTCGAACACTACAGGTATGCTCTAGCATCAGAGCTATAATATAGACCAAGGGCGATATATTGCACACAATCTTTGGCGGTTGTAGGTACAATCGATGCGACGGTCGCCGGACAGGCGTTGGTAGCGGGAATACCATATTTAGCTACTACATGTATATATTGGGAAATTATGTAATTGTTGGCTTGTGCCTTATATGGAGTGAGTGTCGGCTGGGGGGATATTCTATGCAGCGCAAGATTGTCGATACAATTGACCATTCCAGCATTGGACATGTAACCCAGCTTTCCATGGGATAGATACGGATAGGCAAACTCGTATGTCTATTCAATTTCTGGCTAGGCTAGCGGTCCAATCTCTGGATAGGAAGGGATAAGTGTACATTCCATGAGCTATCTGACACCGAGCTACTCCAGCAGTCTTGCATACTGGATAGATTCATGCAGCTTACTTATCTATATGCCTATCTGCGGGTTAGATAAAGAGCAGCAAACACAGTGAATTCCACAGGCTCTGATTGGCTGGGAATTCTCTTTCATACAACCTTCTGCCTGGCCCTAAAGATTACAGATCCTCCAGTGTCAGAAGGGAATATAAAAGATTTTAATTATAATGTATCAACAAAGATAATACTGCTGAAAATATATATTACAAGCTTCGAAATTCTCAATAAAGATTATCTTTTGTGAGCCCCAAAATCATTTACAAAAGCCAATCTTTCATATATCCCTACCATACAATCTTTTACTAGGCCCAAAAGAGTGTAACTCCCAAAGTGCCAAAGTTGAGGATGGCTCCGGTGGCTCAGTGGATATGCTAGGTTTGCTTCGGCAAGCGCCAGCCTTCAGTCACAGGTTGCAGGTTCAAATCCCGCAGGAACCATCAGGGAGTTTCAGTGGGTATTGCATGTTTAGCTGAGTCCCACAGTACTGTGGGATATCCTTGATGTCAAAGGCTCTTTCTCACGCATCTGCGCAAATGCATTTCTTCCTGGAGAGTTAGCGCTCTTCCGCTTACGGTGATATGCACTGACACACAACAATCACCAAGGACCAAAGGAAATAAACCTAAACCCCGTGATATGGGTGAAGGCGGTCCGAGACAACTGAG